GCCTGGCAACGTTGGTGTTTGGCGTTGGAGGCCGGGCGTATCGGGGTATCCATTCACGGGGGAAAAACCACATACCGTGCTTGCGCAACGACAATGTTGAAGAACGGGTTGTGCTTGTTGCCGAAGCGGGCGAGTCGAATCCGGAGAACCATTTTGGCGGGTGTGTAATGCTTTTTCAATTGGAGAGAGCGCAAGACTGTTCTTTTGATGATCCCATTTGCCCTCCGCAAAAGTTCTAGGTGGTGCGGAAGAACGATTGATCCGATGTAGCCAAATATGGACTAGCGCATATATGATGTAATGATGTGAGGACCCTCAGTAGATCTACTTCGGAGCTGGCAGTCACTTTGATTTACACAGTTTCTGTGAAGTTACTCAATTAGCCGAAAGACTAGCTCTGACATTAACATACTTACATGATCCGTTCTATATTCACCCGTCTTCATCTACCTCTCTCCATTCGTCGCTACAGTAAACCAGCAATAATGTCTTTGAAGGTATAGTTGTCTGATATTAGCTCCAACAGCATATAAACTGACAAATATCCTAGGCAATCTCGGCCAAAGATGCCGCGTCACTTGACAAAGACCTCATGGAGACCGGTGGTTGGTCTCTAGATCAATTGATGGAGCTAGCGGGACTCTCTGTCTCGCAAGCCGGTAAGCTCCATCGATCTTGAACATACACTCAGGAGATACTGATACAATGAGCAATCAGTATGGAAAATCCATCCCCCTAGCGCAGGCAAGAATATCCTAGTTGTCTGTGGACCAGGCAATAATGGTGAGAGCAACTCCAATCTTGCCATTCCGGGCAACAATAACCTAACAAATCCCCAGGAGGAGATGGCCTCGTAGCCGCTCGACACCTAGCCCACTTTGGCTACACACCATCGGTGTACTACCCAAAACAGGGCAAAAACGAGCTGTATCAAGTACGCAACCCCAATCACCAGAAGAACTCTAGAAGCAAGAACCAAGAAGCAAATCTAACCCAACCCAGCGCCTCAAAACCCAACTCCAAAACCTCTCAGTCCCGTTCATAGACGACTTCCAACCAGCCCTAAAGACAACGGACTTCCTGGTCGACGCCATCTTCGGATTCTCCTTCGGCGGAGCATTGCGCGATCCCTTCGGCGAAATTGTCTCGCAAATCGAGTCCGCCAACGTCCAGGTGCTGAGTGTCGATGCGCCCAGCTCATGGGATATCCAGAGCGGACCGCCGAAAGAAGGACCCGGTGCGAAGTTCATGCCACATGCGCTGATCAGTCTATCTGCGCCCAAGCCGTGTGTAGCGTTTTATCGGGGCAGGCATTTTATCGGTGGTAGGTTTTTGACGAAGGACCTTGCTGATAAATATGGGCTGGACTTGCCCAAGTATCAGGGCATTGATCAGGTTTTGGAGATTGGTGTTGATGCGGAGGGGAGATTGTAAGGGATTGAGCAGGTGTATGGTTTAGAATGCTAGTTGATTCAAGGATGAAAGAATATTTACGATTTATCTAGTGTGAAGTGGAAGAGGAAGGTAATGAAAAGCCATTGTATGGGAATCGCGTTGTCGTCGTTAGGAAGTAATGCATCTCTGATCTATGCATACCGAATAAAAAATAGCATGCACTCTCAGAGAGCCTCCCGGATCTCGCTAATAATGCCCTTGATGCGCGGCTCCTTTCCAGGACCAGAGGCCGAGGCTCTCGCGAGAACACCTTCAACCTCGTAGATCTCCTTGGCAGCGCTCTTGACCTCCTCTCCGAGTGCTGTCACCAGTGTGCCGAGCGCAACTAGTGCTCGGTAAACCGCCTCTGAGTCCTTCTCTCCAGCGATTATCCGAGTCAGTTCCTCCAGGAGGACCAGACCTCGTTCTGCGGATTCTGGAGATTGATTCCTACCCTCGGAGCTAAGATAAACTGCAAAGTTGATGTAGAGTGTTGTGATAGCGATTGTGAGGTTGCGGTTTGGTGACTCTCCGCTGCTGGCCAAAGCAGACTTCACTCCCGCCAGGATCCGATCAAATGAGCTTATGGCCAGATCGCGGCCGGCAGTCGTCTCAAATAGATTAGCAAATGTCCGCATTGCGAGCATTGCATTGTTGACGTTAAGAGGGGATTCAAAAACACCGCTGGATATCACACCCGACACAACATTTTCGTCTTTGTACTCCGCGGATGCTGTAAATGGCGCAGCAGCTGCCAGTAGACGGAGGATATCTAGGCCAGGGAGTCGGTTGGCAGCAGGCCAGGTTGTGACGATCTTCAGAATCAATGGTACTCCAAATTCAACCTCAGGTGAAACTTGAAGCTGTTGGGAAGATTCGAGCTGACCGCACAAGGCAACAACCGTTTCCACCTCCGAGGGGCTCAAAGCCACTTCCTTTGATCCATCAGACACGAGTTGTGCGTTTAATTCCTGAAGTTTCTTCGTAATAACCTTGAGGTTTGCTGAGCGAATGGAGAGATAGATTTTCTGAGGGAGCACCTTAGGGCGTGGTTCGGGGGCAGGTGGTTGCGACTCTTCAGTCGCCGCGGCGTCCCCAGGGCGGTAACGTCGGTCTGAGCCCCAAGGATCAGCACCTGCGGGTTCCTGGGTCTGCCCAATGGTGGCACCTTGAGTATTCTGAGTAATAAAGTTGGCAACCTGGTCCAGATAGGTCATGGGGAGTTCATTGTCTCCAATAAACTTGGTGGCAGCCTCATATGGATTCTGCGATGCATTGTATGGTAGTTTCAGCGGAGGCTTGCCATCCTCTATGTCAACATCGAAGACGTAGTCGTAATCCTGACCATGGTATTCGGTCTTCCGACCACTGCTTCCAGCCGAGTCCACTACCATACCGATAGCAACCCATTCTTGTGTTGCCGACGACCAGGTGTGGGCGCTCACGGTACCACCAGGCTCTCGAATCATTTGGACCTGGCCTTCCTTGGTTCCGGACTTTTCTTTGAGGAATTCCGGACCAGGTAGCTCTTCTTTATTAATCTTCCCAACTTGCTGCTCTGGAATAGCTGACTCCTTGACAGCCTGGTCAAATTGCTGCATGGCCTCCGGGGCTGCATGACGGTCAGGGCTTCTGCTGAAAACGCGAGCAATGCGGTCACTAGCACCGGTGACGATATCACCGGTCTCACTGCAAGCTGCGACACTCCACACTGAGATTGCAGGATGAGTGATCGTCTGCACACATTGGGTCCCGTTCCAAATCTTCACGGTGCGATCTTCACTGGAGCTCACCAGCTCGCCAGATGGGAGCGCAGCAAGGGAGTAGATAAAGCTTTCATGACCATGCAGAGAAGCGACGAGTTGACCCTGCAGTGTGTAAAGACGAATGATTCCGTCATTGCTAGCTGAGGCAAAGTGGGCTCCTGTAGAGTTCGAGGCAGGAAGCTTGCACAAGGCGCGGACGACGTCGTTTGAGTTCTGTACGCTTCCGAGTAGGGTTCCCGAGGTATTGAACACCCGAATCATTTTGTCAGCACAGCCTGCGGTGATGTTAGCATGTAATACTTATTAGAGCCGCATGAAGCTAGCATACCCGTGATGATTGTGTTCTCGTCATAGGCCAGCACGGCCCAGACGCTTGCCTCATGTCCCTCCAGTACGACATCAGACTCCCATTTCCCGACCCTCCATAGCCGAGCCGTTGAGTCCCAGCTGCCACTGACGACCCATTTGCCATCCGGAGACACATCTAGAGCACAGACATTGTGGCCGTGACCCAGGAGCATAGCATCTGCATTATCTTCTGCACCCTTACCAGGCTGCCTGGCTTCAATTATTGCATCTTGTCCAGCCGAAAGGACAAGGCCCTCTGGGAACTCGGATGTGGGAGGAACATAGGCTAAGCTGTTGATGAAAGCGCCGCCATGTGCAGCGATGGTATAGTCATATGCGGGAGGTGGAGTGGAGACGAGCTTCCAGAGCCGAACTGTTGCATCGCGAGAGGCGGAAAGGACGACATTTGGATTTGGGAAGACCACAGCGCGAACCTAGATTAGAAGTCAAAACAGTGTGAGTAATCTGTATGGTTGAAAGGCGCGATCAATGGCATCTGTATAGACGCCGCAGGAGCCTTACATCATCGCCGTGGCCCTCCAAAGTTGCGGAGAGCTTGAAGTCAGGCATACATAAAACTTTGAGGGAAGAAACAGTGAAAAAAGAAGAATCTGAAGAAGAAATAGTTTGAGGGTATCACTGCGGAATTAATGATCAATCAAGCTCCCCTGGATGTTGTTGTCCTTTAGTCGTTCCGGGGGATCGCCCCGCCGAAGCATCAATGGTCATATCACGTGGGCGGTAACGCCATTTGGGGAACCTGCTAGAACACGTCGAGGTCTTATCAAACACCAAGGTACGGAGATTTTGATTGGATCTTCTAGCCCTTACTTATATATTACATACTCAGGTGGTCCTCAAGTGACTCACTCATCTATCATACTGGCGAATCCCCGAGCAACCTTGGAATCATCTAGTGGACAGTCATCTCTACTTCAGTTGGAAACTTCCAAGGCTGGAGTCTATCACACGACTTAGGAAGCGAACTACGCCATAATAAGGAGGTATCTCTCAATCAGAGCGATTGGTGCCCATAACGAGATAGGCCGACGGTCGCGCTAAGGATCAAGCATAGTGCAAATCACATCAAATTTCCAAAATTCACAAACCTGATCACACTCGGGGCCCATTTTCATTCCTTTCCTCGTTGCGGAACAAAAGACATACATGATCATAACCTTGAGATATATAATTGCAACAAAAGGACAAGGAGAAAAGAGGATTAACAATAGCTAGCTAAGCCCTCGGGGGAGGAGGTTATAAGTTGGGCGGTTCCTATGTAGGCATAGTACAGTGGTAATCGGCAGTTACCGCAGTGAATGAACGTACCAGTTTCTCCGGAAACATGCGAAGATCAATGGATTAACAGGGGATCTAGCCCAAGGTGCATGTCTTCCGCTGGATTCGGTTAGCATTCCGATGAAGAGGAAAGATAGAACCACCGCCAAAGGCCTACCAAGTTCGAGAATCTGACCCCCACGCCATGCCAATTGCCATGATACCAGCGTGACGGTAGTTAGGGTCGGGGTTGCTAAAGTACTGACTCAGCGCGTTGAGCAAGGGGGCAACGCCATGGCTAAGAGGCAAGCTCTGGGAGAGCATGTCAAGGAGGCCGAGAGCAGAACGGGCACGGGTGATATCATTATCACCAGGGGCGGCATCGCCAAGCTTGGTCACGATTTGGAGAGCAGCGCGGGTGGGCTCCTCTCCAATACTATGGGAAAAGAAAACTCGGCCGACTCTATTGTAGGTGAATGAGATGAACAAGATGACCGGGTGGGTATTCTAGAACGGAAAATCAGTGCTTCTTCGACCGGGGATCACGAGTCCGAAAGAACAGAAACAGTTTCATTGTCGGAATCGAAGTCACTATCCTCATCATCTGTCGCTCCGCGCATCGCTACAATCCGACGTAGAAACCATTGCAAGTCCAACAACTCTTTCGATGGTAGTGGTTTGTGCACTGGGTCATCGGTTGTAATGGTGAAAATGTGTCCGGAGAGTATGATGGATCTCGTCTCACCATGCATCAGACAGACGTTCCCTCCTGGGCTTTCCTTAAAGCTGTCGGCCCCGTGGGGGAATGGGTGCTCCAGCGTTGCGACAAGGTCAGAAGCCTTGCTCTTGATATGCTCAGGAGCAGGCAACCAGTGGAAAGCAACGTCCATAGAGGTCTTGTCCTGGTTGATTGAAATAGGACGAAGAGCAAATAGAGAATCCTCCCACCAGAGATGGACTTGGAGGTTGAAAGATATGAGATTTTCCACTCGCTCAGTGTCCATTGTGGCTTCATGACCCTTGCCAGTCATAATTGCCTCTCGCCACTTATCGACTCGCTCTTCGCCCCAGAACACTTTGAACCAGTTCCATTCTCGCTCTCGGGGAGTATTGTCCACCTTGAACGGAACGATATGGGATACGTGTAACCCATATACACGAAACTTCGTGAGAACACATTCATTCCCATCTCGACCCAAGGCCTCAAGATTCAAGGTCAGCATTATATCTGATAGATCTTTTCGGTCAACGTACGGTATCCCTAGCTACTTTACTACGCGCCGAATCTTCGCGTGCAGCTTGTTCCGGCACAGGTTCCTGTAAAGGAGGAACCTTGCCTGCCCCTATCAATTGTCAGTTTGGTGTTACAGACGCGCTCTTTGGTGTACTTACAAATTCCAGGAAAATCTTCTGCAGGAATCCACTGCCCAAATATCTCCCTGATCAACGCCTTAAATGGGTTAGATGCCGCCGCAAGGGTTCTGAGTACCTTGATGTTACTAAACCACAGCAGGAAAAAGTTATGACGATGCAGTTGGGACATCAAGGAACCGGCATCTATCATCGACTTGATGAGGGCTTTGCGTTCCTCATCTTCAAATTCGTCAAAAATAGTGACGTTGTCATATCTTGGCTTAGTTGAGTTAGCCACGATGAAAAACAGAAGATTGAAAAAAGATAGCAAGGATATACTTGAAGATCGTTGCGTGGTTGGAGGAAAGGAAAATAAAAGTGGGACCGAGGAAAGTGGGGCCTTGGCAAACACCTACTTATCACGTGACTATGGTTCCTAGATGGGACTAGTACTCCTATACTACAAGAATAGTCGGCCGCTTGGCGTCTAAGTATACTTGAAGATGATGTACCTGGATAATCTGAATATGCAGTTGGCTCGAGATGATACTAGAGGAATTACATTAAATATCACTGCCATGTGATTTTTTACATATTCTGTTTAGATGTCTTTCTAGATGTCTTCTCAATGTTCTAAGTATCTCTTCCGATGTATTTTTAAACAGTTTTCAAAATGCCTTGCTAGATATCTTGTTATATATTTTTTATATATCTATTAATGTCTGTTTAGAATAGTTCGTCGTAAACTGTAGCTCCAACATACAAAACGACATGTGATGAGCCTCACGTGTTTCATTTATACCCGAATCAGACTAGCGCATGCCTTACCTAATAGGTGATCGGCTCCAGGGCTCGTTATTGTTTGAAATTGAAATTCAATATCCCATCTACACACCGAAGGAGTTTCATATTCCCAGAGGTCTTCTCTCCTTTTGAGGTGTCTGGTTGGAAAAATCCTTGTTCAATCCACTTTCTTCGATCCTTTGTTCTCGGCTCTTCCTCGAACCCCACATATCTGTTTGATGACTTGACGATCCTGACGAATCTCTTATGTACCTTCCTTAGACATATTGAACTCTCACTCGGTCTGGTTCCTGGATTTGTATCTTGATATCAAGTCGTGAGCTCTCAGTTGGGCACATAGCACCGCGCTGATCTGATTGGATCTCTAATACCTAACATCAAAACCACTGAAACCTCGGGAACTTCCCTCAACACCAACGAAATGACGGCCGGTAAGTGATATGTGTAGCTTGAAATCGAAAATTACTATCTTGATATATTTACTGATATGTCTTCAACAGATATCCCCAAGGTAGTCCCTCTGACTTGCCACGGACATTCTCGTCCTGTGACCCATTTGAGCTTCTCTTCCACTGTCGAAGACGAGCAATATTACTTCATCTCTTCATGCAAAGGTGAGAGAAAGACCAATGATTCTCACAACTTACCACATAATCACTAACCAACTAAAGATAATAACCCCATGCTCCGCGATGGCATAACGGGAGACTGGTACGGCAAATGAAACCAAGCCCAGAAACCACCCACTAACATCAGTTTCCAGGATTGGAACATTCCTCGGCCACAAAGGCGCCGTATGGCAAGCAAGGCTCTCTGCTGATGCCGCTATCTCAGCAACAGCAGCAGCCGATTTCTCAGCGTAAGCATCTCCCAAACCATCTCCCCCAATGATATATTAACCTCGACCCCGAATTAGCAAGGTCTGGGACACCTACACAGGCGAATGCCTGCACACACTGCAACACGCACACATCGTGCGGGCAGTAGCATTCCCTATCCAAGCAAACCCGCAAGTGCTCGCGACAGGCGGCGCAGAGAAGAAGCTACGAATCTTCGATCTAACGCGGGGCGGCAGTTCCAGCACAGGCTCAACGCCTCCTCTCCCGTCCTCAGCTACTCCGGCCACCGAGAACGGGGTAGCGAGCTACGAGATTGGCGCTGGCGTGCACGGCGGCACGATCAAGTCTATCGTCTGGAACCAGGACTATAATGTCGTCACGACGGCGGCGGAAGACCGCAAAATCCGCTGGTGGGATCTGCGGTCGCGCCACCCGATCGTTGAGTATGGTGTTGATGGCACGATTGGCTCTTGTGAGCTGAATAGTCTCGCGACGAGACCTAATGATGCGGGTATTTTGACTGTCGCTGCGGGGAAGAGTGTTTATCTCTTTGATGGCGTGCAGCCTGGCCGGTTGCTTAAGAAGGTTGATTATGACTATGATGTTGCTAGTGCTGCGGTTAATAGCGAGTCTGGTCGTCTGGTTACGGGCAGTGCGAATGATACCTGGGCAAGAGTTTATGACTTGAACACGGATGAGGAGCTGGGTATGTTCTTTTCTTCTTCTTGTACTGTGTCTTGTGGCGTTGGAATTGAGCTAACTTTCTTCTGCAGAGGTTCAAAAGGGTCACCATGGCCCTATTTGGTCTGTCAGCTTCTCCCCCGATGGCAAGCTCTACGGAACTGGTAGCGAGGACGGTACTATCAAGTTGTGGAAAGCATGTCGCGAACCCTATGGGCTGTGGAAGTGAATTTGACACTCTCATAATTGTTACAGTGTACAGAAGTTAACACGGAAGAATCTCATATATTCTTCCATTTCATTTGCGGTCCTTGTTCTGTTTATAATTTTCGGCGGCTTTTATTTGAATTTATGCTCTATCGACTTGTATCTTGCCGTCATCCATTGGTTGCAAGCAGCCTCTCGTTCTTTGTATGCACGCTTTATGGCATATGCGCATCTGTTTTTACCCCTGACCAGACGATAGAAAGACACCAAGAAAGACACCGAACAATGCAACAAGAAAAAAAGACTTTATCATGGACTCACAGTTCGCCGGTGTGGATATGCAACGAGAGCAAGGAAAAGGATAAGAGCCCAGCAAAGGTAAAGAAGAGTCGAAGCAGTAAAAAGCCGAATGTGTGATATGGACCGAGTTACAATTTGGTGGTTGAGGTAAAGTACAGAGTTTCAGCCCTCGTGCTGAAAAGCCCGAGCAATGGAAAGAGACGAGAAGAGGAGTGGAAAAAGGCCGAGGTGATCTTAATTCATAGAAAAGACCAAAAGCAATGTGTCACGGAGGCCCAAAAGATCTGAAATGCGAAAGACAAGCGAGGTTCCCGTGATCGAGTGACCGTGAAGTATTTACTCAATCATATCAATATCATCGTCGGCAGCGGGTGCGCTGGGGGCCGGAGCAGTCTGCTGAGGGACGTCCTGAGCGGGTGCAGCTGCTTCACCACCGCCGTTGTTCGCACCACCCCAGTAATCTTCCATCTCCTGGTCCAACTCCTCCTGAGTCTTGCGCGGACGGGCATTGGATCGACGGTTGGATCCATCAGTCTGTTGGGAGCGGTTGTCGCGTCCACCACCACGTCTGCCTCCGCCACGGCGGTTGGGAGAGCGCTGGTGCGAGCGTTGTCCGGGGACGTAACGGTCGATGTTGTCTGGGGCGGGCTTGGTGACGTCGCTGCGATGAGCACGGCCGTCACCGCCACGGCCACGGCGGCGTCGGCCATCTGCGTTGTCCTCGGGGCTCATGCTGCGGTCGTCGCGGGGGCGTTCGACGCGGTCCAAGAGGCTGGATCTAGGGCGCTGTGCGGAGTCGAGGGGATTACGTTCACGGCGGCCGGGGACGAGAGAAAGACGGATGGGCTGGCCCTTGGCGTTGGCTCCGTCATACTCCTTAATGGAGGTGTGTGCATCCTTCAGGCGGGCGTATGTGATGTAAGCAACTCCCTCGGAGCGTCCAGCGCGGTCGTAAGAGACACTAAGTTCAGAAACAGGTCCAATTCGGCCGAAGAGATCCTGTTCAACGAAGAGACCTGTTAGGAGTGTTCTTCTGTGGGACTTGAGTATGAGCTGATTGAAACGTACATCGAGATCGGTTTCGGTGATGTCGTAGTGAAGATTATCCACGCGAACCTTGGTCAGTGTGCTAGAGCTAATAATTCAATTAGCGCCCTGATCAGGCAGGCTATCAAGTCAAAGGCTGATTTGATGGGAGGCTCCATACCGATCGGAGTCATGTCCGTCGCGACCTCTGCGGCCTCCACGGGACGGGCGGGCTGAAGAGCAATGCTGTTAGAGAGGTCCCGGCAAAAGTACGGGGAAGCCACATACATCGGTCGTCGTCAAATTTGTCGTGCACCCAGTCGCTAGAACGAGAGACCCGTCAGTATCATCCACGCCGTAGTAGCCAGGGAGGTATAATCACAGGTTGAGATCGACACGGTCTGAAGTGTATGGCTGTTGTTATCGAAAAGACTTAGCGTTAGCTCCAAGTCAGATGAGATATCGTGCAAAGTTCTTTTCCTTGTCTTTGCCGTGGCGTGTTCGTTGGAGTCTCCAACGATCCAGAGGACTGGCTACGATTGTCACGGAGCAAGAAGAGAATTCGCAGAGGAGGAAAAAGGAGGGCGGACCTAGGTACCGAGTGAGATGTTAGCTTCACTGCCATGCAAATATAACTCCGAAACAAAGCCTCGGTTTCAAGTCAAGTTGTACCTTTCTGACGCCATCGCGCTCGGGGCGACGGCCGGGGTTGTTGTGACGACGAGGACCACCACCACCGCCTGAGGGGCGACCAGGGTTCCGCTGCAATTGAGTGAGTCAGTTGAACGTTTTGGTGGTCCCATTGCTCGCTGGAGCCTTACCGTGTCTTCAGCGATGATCTCGTCCAAGCTGCGGTCCATCTTGGAGTGTATGGCTGAGGATGCGATTGAGGGAAGAAATAATATGTGTAAGAGAGAGAGTGCGGTCAAGAAATTCAATTATGACCAGTGTTTAATGAAAAAAGATTGAAAGAAGTGAGAGGTGTCAAGGATTACAATGAGTCGCAGGCTCATCCTCAATCAGCTCCGATGGATCTGGGGACTGTCACATGACATATATGATATAAATACGGTAATGATCGGCAATATCCACTTCTACGTACATATCAGACCCAAAATAGCTTCAAGGATTCCATTGTAGGAGCAAAAATTTGTTATTTTATGGCATATTGATGTGTCTTGCTATCCTCGCTTGCCCAAGTCCGACTCTCCTCTACCGACAGTCTTGAATATTGAAAATTTTCACATGGTATCCTGATTATTACAAACAGAAAAGCATACACCAACACAATACATATGTGTTAAAGAGGGACAACCACCGAGCCCCAGGATGCAAGATGAACCAGGAAAAAAAACAAGAGGGAAAGATCCGGGTTTCAAAAAAACATGAGAATCCTCGCTGAAAACACCAGAAACACAGCAACACCAAGTCAGTGCAAATCCCCCATAACAACCAGTAATGCTGCGCAAATATCAACCTCAAGGATACCTTTTATTGCTCACTCCCATTATTTTTGTTTACTTCTCGCATCTTCTCCATGAAGCTAATGTAGTCGTACTTGGCCAACTCCCGGTCCTCGAGTAGATCGGGGCCATCGTGTGTAGGCATCGTCTTAACCAAATGCTCAATAACTTCATCTGGAATGAGCGAGTGTCGGAGGTCCAGTTCTGTGACATAGGGCTGCAGGAGAAGTTAGTTATTATAGCCCGATAATTTGTTAGATATCAAAGAAACGCTTCACATACCTTGCCATCGGCAACTTCCTTGAAACTCTGGAAGACCTGTTCCGCTGTATTCTGATCCTCTGTCACACTGACCATAAACCGAATAAACTGCTCGAAGCTGACTCCGGCATTTTGTGACAGTCGGTTGGCCCCACAGACATCCACGTAGACCTGGTGCATCTCGTCCTCGTCGTAGACCAGTCCCAGACTGGCCAGTGCTGCGGAGAACTCGAGCTCATGGAGCGTGTTAGAAGAGTCGCGATCGAAATGGCGGAATACCGATTCAAACTCTTCCAATTGGATAGGGGTCAGATTGGTCATATTGCGCGCAACCATCTGGTTGTCAAGGAATGCCAGCTTCTTTGAAATGCTGGATTTGACGAGACTCAGCTCATACGCAAGCTCGTCCAGGGTGTATGTGGTGAAGTCGTTTTCTTCAATATTGGCCTCCGCGCACTGTTGGTCCAATTCTGCGATAGCGTCGAGGAAGGCGTCAAGGGGCGGCAGGTTACCATTTAACTTTTTAACATGATCAAGCTGATCCTCAACATCACCATCCAGTCCGGAGATCGCCAATGACAAGGTCTTCAGGGTCAGTGCAAAGTCATTTGCCTTGTCAGCAAAGGAGCGGCGTAGCTTGTTCTTGATGTCACGGATTGTTTCGTTTATAAGTTGACTGCGTTCATGCTCCTCCCGGGTAAGGATCTCCCACTCTTTGTCGCAGTTTTCTGGACTCAGTTCTTGCGGTGGGTCGTAAGGACGCAGTCGATATGTACCCAACTTGGTTTTGATATTGCCCAGCAAAGCAGCTAGATCAGATTTCTCGGCCACCCATTGGCGTTTCTCGTTCCGTTTGTAGAGCGAGAATTGATATGATTGTTCTTTGGCATCTTTGTATGTTCCCTCGAACGAGGAGCTCTTCCAGTGATCGCGCTGGCCACGGATCAGTCGCAATAATTCCTTTACTCGGCGCTCATATGAGTTCTGCATATCCCATGCGCCGTGCATGTTGTTGACAAACTTCTCCACTCGTCGCCCAGCATTCTCAACTCTCTCCAATTGCGAGAAAGCGTGGAACCAGTAGGCGATGTAGGTCATGAGGGAGCGTTCGTCGGGTCTGGGTACGTCGCATACATCGTCCACGTCGAGCAGGTCTGGGATGCCAATTTCGTTGGATGCGATCTCGAAGGCCAGCTTCATATTTCCACGGTGATCACTCTTATCTAGTGAGTCGTAGTCGATCAAGTCTGGTCGGTGGATATCGAGGAGCGCGCAGAAGGCCAAGCCGTTGTTCCAGCTGGATGAGAAATCTCGGACCTCTACATCGTCGTAGCATGCCGTCTTTCGTTGACACCAAAGTAGCAATCCTTCCTTTGCAGTCATGCCCTCTTCGTTGATGTCACTGATGGTAAATCGCAAAATCAGGGTCCAGATTAAACCCAAGATGATCTTTTGGTTGCCGTCGACAATATCCTCTGCTCCAATATTCGTCATCTGAATCCTCCTCCCCTTGATGAAATCAAGACTTTTGTTCACATTTTCGAAGCGCTGTACGCGCAGTTTGGGTTTCGAGGCATATCGACCGAGGGACTCTCCTCCAAGGATTTCTAGGAGGTGAATAAGAATGACCTAATATGCGATCAGCGACTCGAAATTAGTGAGCGGGGCACAGGTGGGACATACGCCGTCGGAGAGGTCAGTGACCAAGTCCTCGATGGACAGGCTCCGTGCCTTCACCTTGTCATTCAACCTAAGATTTCTCGTCAGCTGGGGTTCATTCAAAGAGAAGAAAAAAAACAAAGTAGGGGAGGTACCATTTGGTGAAGGTCTTTTGCTGCACATTAATCCACTGCTTCTCAACCGTCAACATCTTCGATCACGTCGGAGACATTCAGGGCCGATTGGCAATGATAGTGTCGGGAGGTGACAGCGAACAGGGTTTAGGGTTAAGGAGAAAATGGCTAGGATGATCAGAGAGGCTTAAAGACTTGGTTTCCGATTCGGACTGAAGATCAGACAAATGGAGCACAAAGGGGGGGGGGAAATAATATCGAGGGGGTGGGGGGGTGTTTGTCCCGCGAGTCGGAGTTGAAAATCACCCGAGCAACCGTGTTTATTCTTCCTTTACTCGAAAGAAAAGCAATCGGTTTATTAAAATAACTTCAGAACACAAAGGATGAAAGAATAGTTGAAACTGGAAGATTAGGAAATTTATCAAGTGACAATTTGCAGCTGCATCCCTTGTGGACCCACTTCTAAGTATAGACCTCTATTGTTTACACCCCCTTTGTCTTTAGATGGGACACAAGAAGAGTCGGCCGCTTATGCGGCCGTGTCAAGTCTTTTTTGGTGGTCGTTTTTGATGGTCTTTTCGGATTCTTCTCAGTTAGTCTTTTCAGATGTCTGTTTTTATAGATATTGTCCCCTTCTCAGTTTGTTAGCTAGACGGCAGAAAAAGGGAAAAAAAGCATACTTTGTGTTGAGACTTTTCTATGTATAACCTTTGATTATATGAAGCGATAAGGGCTACTAAACCTGCTTAGCTCTTCTGAATCTGTGAAAATTTAACTGGTCTTCTCTTTCTGTTAGACATCTTTAGGTCGAGTTTCAAATGCCCATTCTGGAACCGTTGGGCACTGTATGCAGGCCCAGTGAGCACGTTCATATATAGGTACTTTATTCGCATAGATCGAGACTAATAACACCCCCTTTCCCACCCATTCTCAAAACTATTAGGCATTAAGGATCAAGTTATCCTTTACACTCTCTTGCTAAAATTATGGTAGCGTGGGACTTACCAAGGCCTACTCATAAAGAGGAATCTATAACTAATCGGAAATCATACTATTTTGTTGTCTGAATATCTAGCTAGCCCTAGGCCTAGAGGCCCAAGGCACTGATACTTCATCATATAAGTGTCATGTGCCGACACTGAAGGAATATTACATCTAAATCTTCGCCTTCTTATTCTTGCTCCAGACTTGCAGACTTGCACATCAGGAATCTCGCGATAGTTTAGAGGGAAGAATTGCGGACCTAATATCTTCTTCTGCACCTTGCCTGCCCCTGGCTGGCTTTGGAAGCTCACCCTTAACAACCCGTGATATAGTTGGCATTTTATACCCATTTAGCTTGCTCCGCAAGTACTCGCGCAGTTCTGCAAGCGTGGGGCCCGCACGCGTCACATCCTGGTCTCTCTTCAGGCTAACAGCCGCCGCAACACGCTGCCCGTATTCCTCAAAACTCTTCCATGGAGATCTTCGGGCCTATCCGAGATAAAACAAAATGTGGCTTCTGTGCCTTCCGCGCCTCTACTCAATGTGACTCATGTCCCTGTCACACCACATAGGCTAATCATTCTGAGCCGAGCTAATTCCATGTGTTCTTATTTGACCAGAATGAAATTGAGTATCTCTTACTCGAGCTCAGCCTTGTGGGGGAGCAGGTGTCAGCAACAGGCTTCATTTCGGGACGGGTAAGAGATCGCAACTTACAGGCTCCACTGTTCTAGGGGCAGTGAACCAGAGTTGATTGCATTATGCTTAAAATGCGGCTCAATATTATGCTTTTATCGAAGATTTTACCCCTTCCCTTGCTTTCGGACATTGCAACGTGTGGTGATCCTGAATAGGATATCTATACGCTTTGTTGCATCATGTCGCGGCCGGCAGACCACAGTGGGTAGAGCTACGAGAATGGGCACAACCCTAACTTCTGGTGTTTTGCCCACACGAAGGATAGAAATCCCAAGTGGAAGTCCATATCCACCATCTCAGAATGCTTGGTGACGTGTAGGTTTCAAATTGGATCTTGGGGGTTGTATCAACAATAGCCTTCGTTTGAAATATATACAGCTTCACCCTCACAGTCTCGCGTTCTCCATCCCCCCCCCCCTAAACTGATAAACAACATCCCAAAAACTCTCTATAGGCAAAACACAAAATACTAGGTTGAGGGGAGGTTTTGGTTTTGGATATCAAGGGCTATACATGGAAAAGTCGGTTTGCACATTTTAAGCCGTTTTTACCGCCTATACTCTAGCTACAACACCAATAAGGGCGAAAATATCTACTAAAAGGACATCTAAAAAGATTACCAAAAAGACTACCAGAAAGACATGACAAGGCCGCATAAGC